ATGGCTTGAAAAGGTCTACAGTAGGCACAATCTTAGCTATGAAAGATATATCAAGAAGTCTCAAGCTGCTAATGGAGTAATGAAAATCACATCTGAGAAATAAAGAGCATTTTAGAGTAATGGAACCTGAAACTGATCTGACGACAGAAGAACTCCAGGGATGTCAGAACAATGATCATCCATCCGAGTGGCATCCAAACCAGAATAAGGTTAATGGGGTTGGGGATCTCTGCAATTACAATACTATTAATTACTTCCGAAAAATCCTGAAGAAAAGAGAAAAGCAATCAACATTGTCGGGGTTAAAGAATCTGTCCAAATGGAAAGAACATGACTAATAAAAATGCAAGACTGCATATATATGTATTTTTACTATTACATATAAATAAACATAGTAAAAAAGTATATATTTTTTATTTTTTTTTGAGTCTCCAGAACAAATTAATCAAATTCCCATAAAAACCTATGATAAATGATAATCGGTTAATGAACAATTTGGATAAAGTCTTGGAACGGATTGTGTTCATTAACCGATCACCTACTATACTTTATCTTCAAGAAAAATTCATAGGATACTTTCATAATTTAAAATTTTTCAATATCAAGTCATTATTTGCTTAAAATAATTTTTCAAATTTTTAAATTTCTATTGATCTCTAGATTATATATATATATAAAATCAAGGAAATTTGTTCTCAAAACATAATTATTTTGCATAATTATTTATATATATTTCTTTACCAAAGAAGATATTTCTTGAATATGAAAGCATGCAATCCTAATTCTCAGATACTGTATATATATAGACTGAAAATAGTTATTTCTCAATTTTGAATAGATATATACAATTACAAAATTTCAGTTTTTTTTTTAATAAGGAGGAATATTCATCCTGTGAATATCAGCATTTATCCTTCTTCCAATTTGTTCCAAATAAGGCTTTAAATAAAAATCAATCAATCATAACTAACTTTATGGAAAAAAGCAATCTTAAGCCATCTGAATCAAATGGTAATCATTTATAAAAAAATTTATGCAATATAAATTCTTTATGGGCAGTTCTGTCTGTTTCAAACTTCTTTTCAAATACAACCATCTATTTTCAACTTCTATTTCTATCTTATTAACACATACATCTTCAAACACATTTAACTATGTTAGAACAAGAAAAGGAATTATATCTCTCAGTCAAGAATTAAGAATGAAAGTAACAGATTTGACAGAGTTTAAGATCATGCAGAAGTGAAGGAAAGAGAAAACAGCATGCTGAGATGATGATACAGATAAAAAGAATATCAGAAATCAAGTTATTAGTAGTAGTGATTTGTAGAAAGTCTAACACATGCAAATGAGTTCTAAATGACAGCTAATTCCTGAATACAATCATGTATGTTCAAAGATAGCTGGAAATAAACAATAAAAATATTAAATATTTCCACTTAATAGGTAGGTATTATAAGATTACAGCAAAATTTTATCTGCTTCTAAGCATTAAAAAAAATTGATGTTTAAATTGGACGTTTAATTGTCAAAATGTATTTAGAAAAACAGCATAAAAAGCCATTCCAAACATTGATCTAATTCAGGGGTCACCAAACTTTTATCACAGCAGACCACAACTGAGGGAATGACAAACACGGGCTGCATAACCATTTCGTTCATTACAATATACTAAATACACAAAAAGTAAAGACAACCAACATATTTATTTACCTGAACATGACTGCTGCAGCAAGCTCACAACTGCTTTTCTTAGAAACTTCATTGCAGGTACTTATACAAAAAGTACTCTGATATCCAAAGTCACAAAAAGTCTCAGAATTTTTTTAATTTCACTGATTTTTCTAAAAATTATATTACTGTCAGATGCAAAAATCAGATTGGACCACTTTTGTCGTTTTTACTTACTTATTTTAATTTTTTCTACATAGCAAGTTTATCTACAATCTATGATATTTCCAAATAAATTATATTTTAACTCGTTTGCGGCACAGTGCAACGGCAGGCCGAACAAACCGACCTCGTGGGCCATAGTTTGGTAATTCTGGTCTAACGAATAAATACACCTTGAAGATAGGCTGGTATGGCCTGAAAGTATTTAGAATTTCAGAATGCTGTGGTTTGGTGCATTATTTGACTCTAGAAAAATAAGCTATGATTTTTATGAAAAAGAGTTAGTTTTTAACCTTAAGAATAACTCCCAGTGTTGTGTTATTGTATTTAATTTCAAAGAAGATAGGGCCTATTTATTCAGTTAATTCTAAACAAGAAAATTATTTTATTTAGTACATGCTATAATTACTTTAACTAGATTTATACACAATAGGGTCTTATTTTACATCAGATTGATGTATGTGGATTTGTTTTTAGATAATCCAAAGATTGGTTAATCATTGGATGCACAGGTGTAATTCTGACTACTAACACACACTATTTTTATTATAAAATTCAGTATATAATAGACAAGTGAAAATTTTTCAATTAATTTATAAATAACTTAATTGTTTAGTCAATCATCTGAGACTACTTGGAACGAAGCACAAATTTATACAAAAATTTGTTTTATGCAGTAGCTGCTGACTTACAATGTGGGACTGCAATTGCTTCTAATATCATTTGAAATATCTTAGAAATTTATTTACAAATACAGATAGATTTATTTACAAACACTTCAAAATAATCTGTCATCCGAACGATTATCTTTTTATAATAATGCTGATTTTTTATTTTTTTTATTGATTATTGGCTATAGAAAAATAACTAATATAAATCATATCAAAAATGGCAAACATCAATATTTATATTATATGTAAATTGAATTAAACAATTAATAGATTACATTAAAGGAAGATAATTATACAATTACTCAAATCATTACTTGATCATATTATAGAAAAATATTTTTTCAAAACTAGCAGAATTACTTAAATAATTTGCTAAAAAATTTTTCATATTTCAAAAAAATCATTACATTCGAATATATTTTATAACACACTTTGTATATATTTATTGTTGTAAATTATACTTTACAAAAATAAATTTTCCAACTATATAAATTAAGAAATTACAAAATAATCTTGTTACAAATTACTTGAATTATTTTTGCAACTTAATTGATTTTTTTCATAAACAGAAAATGTTAACAAATGTTTTCCCAGAAGTAAATACAAACATATGCAGGTTTATTTTTAAAATATGATTCATAACAATTCAATTCAAGAATATTAAAAATTTTAAGTTGTTTATTCTCCTGAAGAACAAATGAAATATTAGAATGTTATAAATAATAATTCAAAACAAAAACTGTTTAAACCTTAAATAATCATACATAAATGTATTTTTTAGGGAAAAGAATGCTATACACCAAAATTTCAACAGATTAAAAGAAAACTTAATAGTTAGGTAAGAGATAAGAACATAAAATTAATAAATTGCAACCAATTTTATCTGATAAATTTATTTTATCGAAAGATCCAACATAACTAAGATTAAGCACATTTCAAAACGGTCCTATTTGCCACAGTCTCTCCTTTTACCCGCCGTATTTTCAGTTTTTATACGTATCGGTAACAAATTAAGTTTTTCTAGCAATATTTATTCAATCGCAGTTAATAATTGTAGTAGTGTCAAAATTCGGTTCTCTCATACAACACAATTTATTACCAAAATAAAAGTTAAGAAATATAAAGGAACGAAAATGCGTGACTTAACTTTAAACAGTTATTTCGAATAAAGAAAAAGTTTTTAGTTCTCTATAACTCGATTACCGAATCACCGTACAGAAAGTACGTCGTTAGGAAGAAACGCACACTACTTTAAAAATAAAGTTTGACTAGCTCATTTTTTTTAGAAGTTTACCTTAGCTCCTTTCTAAGAAGTTACGATAACATCTAAAAAAATTGTCAAATTAATTTAAAGATTCCACAATATATAGACAATTATTACTTCTTTCTCGTTACATTAACTAATACCGTACCAATTCGTTACTCCGGATTTCTTTTTACGTCACGCGTAATATACGAATTCAAAGTTTCTCATTAAGAGTCCATAAATAAGTATGGACGCTTCTCTACGCTAGCAAACCGCGCTGGCGTTAATACTCGAAACACCGACTTAAACACTTGGACCGACCCTGGCGGGATACAAAAATTAAAATAATTTCGATTGTCCGGCGTCGTAAGTGACAGGCCGAAATACAAATTTCTTAACGTAGGCGCGCGTAGAGAGCATCGTCGTTAGCAGTATAACGGTAAATTAGAAACACTAAACGTTCACTTTTCAATATTTAACTGGTATAAATTATTATCTTTAATCGGACGTTAAACGACCGTAAAGTTTTACTTTCGCTGGCATTACTTCGAACTATGAAAATGCCGTCTGGTAGACAGACAGTAAAAGAAAAAAGAAGTTACGCATTACACAATTAGATTCATAACGGTAAACAAACGACGAATAGTAGTTTTAATACAGCATTTATACGTAGTTAATCGTCTTTTAAACAATATCCAATGTTTATTTTCGATTTAAATAAAACAAAGGACAAAATTGTAATTTAACTCTCGAGACTTAAGTAAAGTAGGAAGAAACACTTTCGTACTATAAATTAACATTTAAACATTTATAAAAATTTACATTATTAACACGTCGCAATGTGGAAATACAGATTAGCATCTGGCACTTTTTGCCTCTGGAGTGGAAACATTTAAATGGAATGACAAGCGACCGAACAGAGAGAACACCTGTCTCGTTTGCCAGATTATTACAAACTATCCAATTACATTAACACATCATTTACCTTCGACGACGTATCGTGCACGGTCGGAAATGGATTAATTATGACGAAAATTGCGATACGAGGAGAGAAACGTCACAGATTGAAGTTCAAGATGGCGACCGGCTCCGAATCGACGTAAAGGAATGCGGAGACTGGCGTTTATCATCCCGTTGTTTTTACGGAGATCGATTAAGAAATGTAGCCGAGGCTATTAAAACCAACTTACCTTCGTCGAGAAGCCTTTCTAAATGAATGAAAACGTTAGGAAATGCGGCCAGTTGTTTTTTATCTTTCAGTAACTGAGCGAGATAATCGGCGATGCTCTGCATGCTGTTCGTCGTATTTTCCCCCATTACTGCCTCCGTTAAGTAGCCAAAATCGCCTGGTTCGACCGACGAACAACCTCACCGCGCAATGACGAAAACTTCTGCTCCTACTAGATGGCCGCCGCCGCTGGGCATGCGCGGACTTGGCCGGAACGGTCGACTGGTGTCGGAGGGGAGGTGCGGACGCAGTTCCTGGAAAGACTCGTTCTTCGTCTTGGTCTTTTCCATTCAGGAAAAGATTGCCTACCGGTTATTAAATTCATTCATTCATTCCCTTTTTACTAGCCTTTTTTTATTACATTCGACGTGTGGAAACATTTTCTAAATTAAGAATTCTTTAAATCAAAATAAGAATAAATGGAATGGTTTTAGTCTACATTTAGGTTAATTAGAATTTAAAGTTAAATATATGCTGTTTATTTACGTAGAAAATAATCTTCTATTTTATAAAATAAATGAAAACTGACTTAGCATATTATATACAAACAATTTTCTTGTAATTATAAAGCCCGAGCTAGCCTATGCGATGATATAGAATATGGACACGTATCAATAATTAGTAATAAATCTCATTTACCATCGTAGCCCGTTTTAATATTCTTATCAAATCTATTAAATTTATCAGGATTTATAAAAATAGATACGTAGTCGACGGAATTTAATTGCTTTTTTGCCCTAGTTAAGAGCACTTTATATAATTTTTCGCATTTTATCGTAGCCGAGAATTGATTTACAAATTATAAAATCAAATTACACCCTCTCTTAATGCTTAATTTATAAAAGAAAATGTTATTTAAGAAGGAGGAAGAAAAAATATATACTTCACCCGAATGAATAATATTTAAATGAATATTTAAAAGATATAAATTTATACATTAGTTTAGAGCTGGTGGAAGTAGTTTCGAAAAGCTTCCTATAAAGTATATCTTGTACGAAACCTGTTCCGAGATGTCAGAAACAGTGATATATTGTGAGTTTTATGTCATCACTTAATCGTACCTATCTTAGATAACGGTGATTCGTTGACTTCTACATAAATTCTTACTTTATAATGCTCTAGAATTCGTTTAACCAGAAATCGTGATAATGAAAAAGACCAAACTCGATTGATTTATTTTTTCATCCCTGACCCTCGGACAACTTTAATTTCGTTAATTTGATTGTTTCGTCCAAAAGAGTGACCGTAAGAGAAATTTCAACCTGGAAAAGGATGTTGTCGTTGAAAATCAGATATATAAAGAGGAGAGAAATGCTTCGTCTGTAAGAATCATTACTTATGTTTTTTATTGTTAAATAGTCGTAGTTGGTTGACTTTTAAAAATAATAATAATAAATTTCTAGTTTACTATTATCCCGTGAGAATAAAATACAAAATTATAACTATAATCTTTTCGTGCATCGTACTTATTAACAAAGAAAAATATTTATATCCAGATCTGAGAGGGATGAAATGGAGCCAGGGATGGTCTACCCTTTTTCGAAGGTGAAAAAATATATATAAATAACACCAATAAAACAATTAAAAACACATTTTTATCGCTCGATCGACAGAGACGTGACTTTAATAACATTTCTTTTAAGTAAGAGACTAAAATTTTAGGGTCCGTGTTTGTCTGTCGTCCTAGTTAAATGGCCTTTCTAGTCTACTTCTATCTCACACTTTATATTTATTGAAAAATTTATATAATATAATTCATTTTAACATTTTATTATAAATTGGTTAATTCGATCCTTAATTTTTGGCTTTATAATTACATCTGCAAATAACTTTACTGAAAGAAATTTCATTCACTCGCGGATGAATTTTCTTTCGGTAAACTTACTTAAGGACGTGTTCGTACACGTTTTGCGCATACAACTTTTCTATACGAATATATTTAACACGCAGCTTCCTTGGTAAAGTATTGAGTTGTGGTCGAAACGAATAAATAATAGATGGTGTTAATTGGAATTTTCGTAATCTTTTTACCCGTGGACAATTAGGTTATTATATACAGTATTGTTTCTGTATCTGATGATTATTTCTTTTTATTACTTACGGATGATTTTTATTTTATGAAAAAATTCATTTTTAGGATTACGACAAACTTGCGCTTGCATCTGTGGCTAATGTTTATATCCGTCGTTATTAAAACGCGTCTAATATAGATAAACAATGTTGAATAAATATGGCATATTTAGTTTCATACGGTAACATTCTGGAAACGGTTTTAAAATGAAAAGTTGAAAAAATTTAACGAAGCATTCTATATTTTACAAGTTTAAAGTTACATACAAGCCCGTGTGGCTTTGTATTACGCTACACGTGTCAGCCATCGAGCGGCCTATAAAAATGTAGAAAGCGTGAAATTATCTAAATATATAAAATTGCTTGTCCTGACTGACTCACTCATTCATTCACTGATTCATCATCGCCCAGAGCAAACCGCTTAACCTAAAGAGGTGAAATTTGGTACACAGTTAGGGTACGTCATGGAAACGCACACTAAGAAAGGATTTTTCGAAATTCCAACGCGGGGGGGNTTTTCTCGTACAGGAACGGAAAAGTTCCACTATTCAGTTGCTTCCATGTTTTTTTTAGTCATGTTGGGCGTAATTTTAACTTTCGGTTATATGTCGAATATTTTACTCACGCCTTAACGCCCTAGCAAGTATTTTTTTGGGAGTTCCCAAAAAATTAATGTTTTTTCATTAACAATATCTAAAAATTTTTAAACAAAAACTTAATTTTTGAATCCATTCCATTTTATGGGCTTTCTAGAGACTGGCATTAAAAATTTCGATCGAGAAAGTCGATACTTTAAACGTCAAAGTACTAAAATTGATTATCTGAAAACAAATAGTTCCAAAAATTAAATAAACTATTATTTATTATTCTTTTATGAGTGAAGTGTTTAAACCAGTTTTCTCAACCAGTAGGTCGCGACCCCTCCGAAGATTGCAAATTGTATTTCTGAGTTATGTCACGGTTTTTCAATATCAGAAAAGTTGAAATCCTGTTTTTAAATTATTTGTAAATAAATGTAAATTGGTTTACATAAAAGTTATTTATTAAAATTTGATTTTTTCTCATTATTCTCTGCACTTTTTCTCGCAAGTTCCTAAGTAGAATTGTCAAAATATGGCGTTTAATACATATGGAACATATCATGTTTTTATCATATTAAAATGTTTCGAATAATTAAATTTTTTTATTAAGATAAAAATTTAAGATTTCTTTTTTTAATATTTAATAACATATTAAGAAAAATGGTGTATTTATATTCCGTATATTCAACAGACCGAGTGCATTTTGTGTCATATATTGTTATCGTGTCAAAGTACTTTTTTAAAAATCCAATTATACCGTTAAAAAGCAGTAAAACATTTGCATCTTTGTTTACTAATTTTCCCACAGTTGTCTATCCTACTGTCGTAACAAAGTCACGACAATTATTCACAGATGATAGAACACTTTCCTGTACATCACATCGTCTAGTGACAGAGATACTAAAAATGCTTTAGTTAATTGCAGCTCGCATAATTTTTTGGAGAACCAATAAGATAAAATAATCGTATTTATTGGTAAATGAAAATACAATTGTTGTTTTGCTAAACAGCCAACCAAATTTGGAATTTTTTTAAATGATAAATTTCTAATAAATTTTGATAAATAATTAAGGAAAAAATACTCGGATAAATCATTTTTAACATTAGAAATTTGTTTTATTATTAAATTGCTATCAAAATAAGCATTTTTCTATCATAGCCTATAAATCTATTATGTATAGACTTATAAATAAGAGTAATTCTAATCATTGGTAATTTAAAAAATAAATAAATTCTTCTGCTCGAAATCGTTTGTATTAATTACTGATGACAAAACATAAGACAAAAAACTGTCGATGATAATTTACAGTACCGGCATTAATTTAACTTTAAATGACTTTCTTTATATATACAAATTATATCTAAAAATATTCCGTGTCACGAAAATCGTTCAATGTTTCGACCTATTGGTTTAAATTGTTGAATTTGGAATAACTCCAACACACGTGTTAGCTTTCAGAAGACCGTTCTTTACACGAATATAGACAGAACAGAAACGTGCCATAAACACGGGTGACATATTGAACACGTAATTCAAAGAATATGTCTAATTCTTCTGTAATGGTGGATATTATTAGGATCGGGATAAAAAATATCGTCCTAATAATCAATATAAGTTACAATCACCTTTTCCAAGCTTTCAAGTTTTCTACAATAGATATGGAAGGATCCGTCGTTCTTTCAAGTTTGAAACAGATGAAATCAATATAAATAAACCAAAATTAAAATTATTACGGATTATTTAATAGAAATATTTAAGAATTTCATTAATTTTAGCTTCGACCTAGCTATTATAAATGGCATAGAAGACCAAAATTGAAAATCACTGGTGAATATGAAACAACAATCAATATTAATAAACCATAATTAAATTTATTTCGGATTATTTAATAGAAATATTTAAGAATTTCATTAATTTTAGCTTCGACCTAGCTATTATAAATGGCATAGAAGACCAAAATTGAAAATCACTGGTGAATATGAAACAACAATCAATATTAATAAACCATAATTAAATTTATTTCGGATTATTTAATAGAAATATTTAAGAATTTCATTAATTTTAGCTTCGACCTAGCTATTATAAATGGCATAGAAGACCAAAATTGAAAATCACTGGTGAATATGAAACAACAATCAATATTAATAAACCATAATTAAATATATGTAAGATAATTGTATTTTAATCCTCGAAAATATCCTTTTTTTTCTTAAAAATTTTTATAAAATTAATCGAACAAGCGACATCGAGTTATCTATTTCTGTACACTCCATCTCTTCAATACATCTTATGTCATAACACGTAAGACAAGGGGCAAATACTCTTAGACTGACGTCACAGACATATTTTTCAACTCTATTTTTCTTTTTTTTCTTCTTTCATTCTTAATTTGTATATCTTCGGCACGCTCTGTAAATAAAAGATAAAAATATCAAATAGCATTCTCTCCCCTCAGCTCGACTACACGTAGATATTTGCAGTTGAGATAAGAACGACGTTGGGCGAGTTTGAATTACACGTTGGTGACACCCTGTGATTTAGCTGAAAATGCA